ACCACTGTGGCCTTCCTCGGACTTTGTCTGGGGATCCTGGGACCCCCTTGAGACCCTCCTAAATTGCCGGAAGCCCCCTACCTTCTGAACTCATGATGCGTGTGGCGCTGCACCAAGAAATGACTCTGGCTTCCTTCGTCTGCCATGCACACGCTACACCCCGTATCGGGCCGAGGCCGCGGCGCGCAAGCGTTTACAATTTCTACAGTAGAGCTTGGCTTGCATGAGCACGAGAGACACAGTAGCGGCCCTGCGAAGAAGGATGAAAAAGGTTGATTTATCATCGCAGCTGAAGTCTCAACTTGCACTACCGTTGTCAGTTGGCATTACGAGTACTGGACCGAGACATCCTTGCGCCCTTCACAGGACAAAGTTGCTGCAGATGTCTCTGCTGTGTTGCAAGACAAGGAAGGATACCGTAGATGCACATCGAGAAAGCCGCCTTGCAATGGTTAGATCGGCTGAGGCATGCTGACTAGAACAATACGATGAGCTGAGGCAGAGCTTCGGCGGCCGGCATAGAATCGGTCGCAACATTCTGCTGCTACAACTACCACGACAGACGTCAGCTGAATTTCTGGCAGCATACGTACGCACCTAGGAATATCTCTGCCAAAGAATGCCGCCCTCCTCCATGTGTCTGTGGTTGATCCCATGAGGTCCTTGACGCACAGTGACGGGGATTCCGTGAATTGGTTTTGCGAGCTGCTGAGCTACATCCTTGAGGTTACAAGAGGTCTTGGGTTCCCTTCTGGTAGCGTACGAACAACAAAGCGCGCGCACGCACACACACACACACACACACGATATGTTCATATATGTCGTTACAATGCAGCAAGATATTCTTCTAGGTCATGAACCTTAGGCTTCTTCGGATTCGGCACTTTTCGTTCCGATGAACACCCATCATGCTAATCGGAGTACTGGCCGCTAGGTTTGCTTTGGAATTCTTCTGGTGGTGATGATCTCCGTGGCTGACAAAACCCTGTGTTCGTTGAAAGTTGCGTAACATGCTTGGTAGGGTATTTCTGTGGGTTGCTTGCGGTATTGAGCTCAGACCCTCATTAAACCTTAATAGTACGTAGTCGGGAAGTAGGGAACGAGGTACCATATACCCTAGTACTGGAAAGAATCGTGTTGGACTTGGCCCAAGTTGCTCTAGGCGTTCCCGGCTTTGCTCCCAAGGGAGTGCCGGGCTTTGCCCCCAATGTGTCCTCCTGAGGCTTTCACGACTCAGAGCCGTGGAGTGCCACCCAGAGTGACATAAACGACCAAGAAAACATGCCACGCTAGATCGCTAGATCGCCAAGGCTTGCAATCAGCCATCCTGACGAAGCTCCTCACTGTCTAAACGTTTGGTACGGTTGCTACTCGCATGTTGCCGGCCATGCCTGATCAGCCTGATCTTCACTCACCATGGAGGGCTCCTTCACTGTCGAATGCATGGCGGCTGAGGAGTTGCGCACAGCAGACGTTTCTCCGATATTGTTACTCGTTCGAGTCATCTGCTTCTCCTTCGAAGCGACTTTTGATGACTTGCATGCGGGCCATTTCTAAGCAGCTCTGTTGCGGCGAAGGTGTTCAGCTTTCTCGAGAGCATCGACGCTGCATTGAGCCAGTGTGCACGAGCAACAGGAAGCATGACCCAACTGGACCAGTGCATACGCAATTCGCTTTAGAAGTCGCTACTGTTCCGAGCTGTTCGGCAGTATGGCCCGAGACTGCAACACTCGCAGTTTAGGAGCTTAGGATCGATCTTGCAGCTGAAGAGCCGAAGTTAAGCGCACTTCTAGATTCTAGTTGCGGCAACAGAGTCATCAAAAGCATCGATTCCACCAAATGTCGCCAAGTGCAGGGCCGCGTCTTCTCGGGCAGTCGCTCATGCGAATCCTGCCCCACTGGCAAGGCCTGACAGAATTTCGAAGCGATTTTGGCTGACATGAATGACATGAGGGCCGGTAGCCAAGCGAGTGAGCAAGTCAGACGGCAAGCGAGGGACGGAGGCTCGGACGGGGAGGGGAGAGGGTGGAAGGGAGAGGGAGTGGAGGAGGGAAGAGAGAAAGAGAGAGAGAGAGAGAGAGAGAGAGG